TTATTTTATTTTATTTTATTTTATTTTATTTTATTTTATGACTGGACAGCCATTTGTCTGAAATGGTATAGGTTTCCTACCTGAGCAGGGGGTTGGACTAGATGACCTCCAAGGTCCCTTCCAACTTTATTATCATCATCATCGTCATCATCATCATCATCATCATTATTATTGTCTGTCTGTCTATCTGTCTGTCTGTCTGTCCGTCTTCATTCCCTGGCCTATGTCCAGCCGAATGGTCTCCTAACCAGTAAGGTCCTGAGTCCTAGAGATGGAAAGGCCTGGAAAAAAAATTGGAGAAATTTTGTTTTGTTTTTTTCCTTTTTTTCCAAAGCTGTTTGGGGGGGGGGAAATGGGGGAAAAAACTATTTTTTTCCCCTCAATTTTTTCAGTTTCTTTTTTCCAGGCCTTCCCATCTCTAATCCTGACCCACCAAAACTGGCTGAGAATTTTAGCAGTTACAAGCTTGTTCCAGCTGAGGAAAACTGGTTTATATAGAAAATGGAAAGACTCAGAAGTGGAAAGACAGCAGATAAGATGGATGAATGAGGTCAAAGCGATGACCGAAAGGGCTGTAAATTATTCCCAGCCACCGATCAAGTTGAGTTTCAAACATGAATCACCTTGAACTCAATAAAACCTAATTAATTGCACCTCTGTCGTCTTTCCATCCGACCTTTAGCTTCCCTCTCCAAATTTTTTATCCGCCCATCGGGCGCTTGTTGACAGATGCTTTTTTTTTCAATCAAGCCCTTCTTCGTATCTGATTCCAATTTCGTTCATCTTTTTGTCTTTTTCTTTTTTTCTTTTCTTCTTCTCATTTTTACATAGCCTCTGTTATATTTTTCTTTCTTTCTCTCTCTCTCTCTCTTTTGTTAGATCTCTTAGAGAAGTCCCGGGTGATATTTCAGCTCAAATCTGAGAGAAATTACCACATCTTCTATCAGATCCTGTCCAATAAGAAGCCGGAACTTCTGGGCAAGTTTATATATATATTTTGGGGGTAGAAAGATAATTTACAATCATTCATTTAGTGAAGGTCTTCCCAGAATTCCCCAGCCCAGAATTTGTCTGTAACTTACAACCTTTCGTTTAGTGACGGTTCAAAGTTACAACAGCACTGAAAAAGGTGACTTATGACCATTTTTCACAGTTATAACCTTTACCGCATCCCCATAATCGCGTGATCTAAATTCAGATGTTTGGTAACTGGTTCGTATTTATGACCGTTGGTTGTGTTGATCCCCTTTGGTGACCTTCTTTTAAGCGAAGTCAATGGGGAAGCCAGCGGGAAGTCGAATACGGTCCTTGCTTAACCGTGTTGCTAACTTAACAGCCGTAGTGATTCACTGAGCAACTGTGGCAAGAAAGATCGTAAAGTTTCCCTTAGCAAATGTCTCATTTAGTGACAGAAATCTGGGGCTCCATTGTGGTCGTAAACCGAGGACCACCTGTATTATGAATAACCCAGTGGTGGGATTCAGCCATTTCGCACCACTTCAGCAGAACCGGTAGCTAATTTCTTGTCACCCAGGCCCAGAACGGACTTCCAGAAGCAGCATCCACGCAGAGAACCGGTTGTTCACCTATTTGAATCCCACCACTGGAATAAGCCCATCTCATAACTCACCTTTTCCTCCCATCCTCTCCTACCAGATCTCCTCTTGGTCACGAACAACCCTTACGACTATCATTACGTCTCCCAAGGAGAGGTAACCGTGGCTTCCATCGATGATTCCGAAGAGCTAATGGCTACCGACGTAAGTTGACTTTGGGTTGAGGTTCACCAGCCTTTCAGGAATGGGTAGCAAGCTGGTCAACCTACGTCCTCTTCACTTTTGATGGACGTTGTCTCTTTCTACTCCCTCACCTCTTTTCCACTCAGAGTGCCTTTGATGTCCTGGGCTTCACCCCTGAGGAAAAAGTGGGTGTCTACAAATTGACAGGCGCCATCATGCACTATGGGAATATGAAGTTCAAGCAGAAGCAGCGTGAAGAACAGGCCGAGCCTGATGGGACGGAGGGTGAGTGTTGGAATTGATGCGTTGGAATGTATTTCTATGCAGCAACCGTAGTAGTATTCAGCCAGTAGATGGCAGTGTTCACAAGTTTGGATCTATATACGCTATGCTCTTTTGTTCTAAGTAGAGTTTCCTGTTACAGTTAAACAGTTAAGCAGTAAAGCACATGGTGGCGGTACTCTTTCTTTGCTCTGTGGTGCTACATATAAAAACAGAATTTCTAAGAAAGCAATGGACCTTAGGACAGAGGAAAAAGGGCTGGAGAAGTTGTAGGTGGTATGAAAAGGTCTTCCTTCTCCTTGTGTGGCTCCCCCGGATGCAGAATTCCATTGGTGATTGGGAATTTCAGGGGTTGAGGGACACATTTTGGGAGGAAGACAGATAGAGAAGGTCTTCTCGGAGTATCCTAAGAAGGAGAGGACTTCTATGGAAGGAAGAGGACATCAGAAGAGGAATAGCTCACCTTTCTTGTTTTACGTTCCCGTGAAATTTGCCGGAACCGTTTCTTTTATTCTCCAGATGCGGATAAATCTGCCTACTTGATGGGTCTCAACTCCGCCGACTTGGTCAAAGGAGTGTGCCACCCCCGGGTGAAGGTTGGCAACGAATATGTCACCAAAGGGCAAAATGTCCAACAGGTAAGGATGCTCGGTCGGAGTTGTCCAACTGGGAAGTTTTTGGACTTGGCTGAACTTTCCCTGGAGCTGCACAATTGAGAAAACAGCACCCGTTGAACTTCTACCTTGCAATTCTTAAAGGGCACATTTCCTCAGTACAAAGGAGGGCGAGTTTATTACAGGGAGTCCTCGACTTACGACCACAACTGAGCCCAACATTTCTGTTCTTAAGCGAGACATTTGTTAAGCGAGTTTTGCCCCCATTTTACAACCGTTGTTAAGTGAATCAATGCAGTTGTTAAGTTAGTCATGCGATTGTTAAGTGAATCCGGCTTTCCTCCGTTGACTTTGCTTGTCTGAAGGTCGCAAAAGGGGATCACAGGATTCTGGGACATGGCAACCGTCATAAATATGTATCGGTTGCCCAGCGTCCGAATTTTGATCACGTGACCACGGGGATTCTGCAATGGGCGTAACTGTGGAAAACGGTCATAAGTCACATTTTTCGGTGCTGTTATAACTTTGAACGGTCACTAAACAAGCTTATTGTAAGTCGAGGAGAACGCTGCTATCCTGTCACCCCGAGTCCTTCTTTTCATTAAACTAGACCAGGGGTAGGCCACCTTGGCTCTTTTATGACTCGTGGACTTCAACTCCCAGAATTCCTGAGCCAGCCATGCTGAGGGAAAAGGGAGAGGTTTCCAAGCTGAGCCATGCTGGCTCAGGAATTCTGGGAGTTGAAGTCCACGAATCATAAAAGAGCCAAGGTTGCCTACCCCTGATACTAGACATCCCCAATTCCAGCAACTCTTCTTCGTATATTTTAGCCTCCAGCTCCCTGATCATCTTTGTTGCTCTTCTCTGCACTCTTTTTTCTAGAGTGTCAATATCTTTTTTACATTGTTGTGACCAAAACTGGATGCCACATTCCAATTGTGGCCTTACCCAGGCCTTGTAAAGTGGTATTAATTTTTCTTTTACTTTGGAAAAAAAACAAAATAGTAGAAGGCCTGAAACTGTGGATGGGGTGGGGGGAGCCGGGCTCAGCAAACACCTGTCCCACCAACGGCCTTCAACTATGTCCGTGACAGCTGGAACCCAAAGCACAAAGTAAGCCACAAATACACAACGGCTTGCAGATCCTGGCTGATAGCTTTATCTCCTTCTAAGGCATGGCATCGGCTAGCCTAGGGGTAGGCAACCTTGGCTCTTTTATGACTGGTGGACTTCAACTCCCAGAATTCCTGAGCCAGCCATGCTGAGGGGAAAGGGAGAGGTTTCCAAGCTGAGCCATGCTGGCTCAGGAATTCTGGGAGTTGAAGTCCACAAGTCTTAAAGTTGCCAAGGTTGAGGACCCCTGATATAGTCCAGGGGTAGGCAACTTTGGCTCTTTTATGACTCGTGGACTTCAATTCCCAGAATTCCTGAGCCAGCCATGCTGAGGGGAAAGGGAGAGGTTTCCAAGCTGAGCCATGCTGGCTCAGGAATTCTGGGAGTTGAAGTCCACGAGTCATAAAAGAGCCAAGGTTGCCTGCCCTAGGCCTAGGCCACTTTATGACTCGTGGACTTCAAGTCCCAGAATTCCTGAGCCAGCCATGCTGAGGGAAAAGGGAGAGGTTTCCAAGCTGAGCCATGCTGGCTCAGGAATTCTGGGAGTTGAAGTCCACCAGTCATGAAGGGGCCAAGGTTGCCTACCCCTGGCTAGAAACTGAGAAACGAGCATCTTACCGAGATATTTCTTCTTTCAAACACTGGAAACTGGAGAAAAATGGCTATAAATAACACCCGGGCTGTTATAGATAGTCCTCGACTTACAACAGTTCATTTAGTGATCGTTCAAAGCTACAACGGCACTAAAAAAAAGTAACTTACGACCATTTTTCACAGTTCTGACCTTTGTAGCCTCCCCGGGGTCACATGATCAAAATTCAGACACTTGGCAACTGGCTCGTATTAAGGACGGTCGCAACGTCTCGGGGGTGTCGTGTGATCCCCTTTTGTGACCTTCTGACACGCAAAGTAAAGCCAGATTCACTTAACAACCGGGTTACTAACTTAACAACTGCGGAGTTTCACTTAACAGCTGTGGCGAGAAAAATCCTAAAAATGGGGCAAAACTCGCTTAACAACTTTCTCGTTTAGCAACAGAAAATTTGGGCTCAGTTGCGGACCACCTGTATTTTGAAGCACTCTTTGATTAAGCAAACATATCAGTGGCTATATAAGCAGCATCTTTGGTGCAGGGTTAAAAAAAGAGTTACCCTCGAATTTGTGATTCCTTGGATCGCAGGTGGTCCCAGCCGAGATTTATGTCTTTTTATTTATTTATATCCTGTCTAAAAATCTTGATAGCTTTTATTGCTCTTCTGCAGGGTTTAAATCATGGGTCTTCAAACTTGGCCCTTTTATGACTTGTGGACTTCAACTCCCAGAATTCCTCAGTGGGGCATGCCTGGCTGAGGAATTCTGGAAGTTGAAGTCCACAACTCATAAAAGGGCCAAGTTTGAAGACCCCTGTCTTAAATCTAAGAAACAAAATGGAGGCTGGCTGAGGAATTCTGGGAGTTGAAGTCCACAAGTCCTCAAAGGACCAAGTTTGAAGACCCCTGTCTTAAATCTAACAAACAAAATGGAGGCTGGCTGAGGAATTCTGGGAGTTGAAGTCCACAAGTCCTCAAAGGGCCAAGTTTGAAGACCCCTGTCTTAAATCTAACAAACAAAATGGAGGCTGGCTGAGGAATTCTGGGAGTTGAAGTCCACAAGTCCTCAAAGGACCAAGTTTGAAGACCCCTGCTTTACATCAAGGTATCACTCAACTGAGGTATGCTTGCAGGATTAGGGGAAGTTTGCCATTCTCAAATCCTGATTATTGGCTTTAGGGAGGCGACTGTCCGGCTGTTGTGGAGCTAAACCAACATTGGTTTCATCCAGTCTGGCTTTGGTGTGCTTTCAGAAGATAAAGAAGGGAGAGAAATGCCAAAAGAAATTTTAAACCGAGGCCATTGGAGGACTTGAAAGGGCTTAAGGGAGATGGAGGTTGCCTTTTTCGGGTCCCACGATGCTGCCGGTAGAGCAGAGTCCTGTGGCATTGTGGGAAATTAAAAGCTGGGATGGGTCCTTGGTGCTCTTTGAGCTTCGTTGTTGTTTGCATATGTTTCATTCTCCACTGAAATCTAATTAGCACAGAGGATGTTACCTGGTTGGGTCATGAAACATCTGCAAGAAAACAAGCAATCTCAGAGAACACCAAGGACCCCACAATCCTCCTCCTCCTTTTCCTCCTTTTCCTCCTTTTCCTCCTCCTCCTCCTCCTCCTCCTCCTCCTCCTCCCACACTCCCTTCTAGCACTGATGATGTTCCCTAGTTGGGTCATGAAACGTCTGCAAGAAAACAAGCAATCTCAGACAATACCAAGGACCCCACAATCATCCTCCTCCTCCTCCTTTTCCTCCTTTTCATCCTCCTCCTCCTCCTCCTCCTCCTCCTCCTCCTCCTCC